AAGCAACCACACTCATCTCTGCAATACCCATAGTGCTGATAATGCGATGACACTCCCCTATGAAACCCATTGTGCTCTCTTAAGCCAAACCGCTGAATGCAGGAGGGTCACTCTTTCTTGAACCTTGCAAATTCTAAGTTGCTCTCCCTCGAATGCTGCTGCCCTGACCATGGGCTGAACTGGAACCACAATTGTATCGCCAAGACGCCTGGAACCTGACCAACGGATACTCACTGCTATGAGTGTGGTCTAGCTGCGGCACGTACTCCTCGTCGGACTCTGCTTCTAGCGATACCTGCTCTGGAAGCAGCGTCATCGATAACCACTGCTCGTGTCCTCACCGTCGGTGAGAGAATGGAAGGATAAAAGTTCAAACTCCAGGATCAATAAGCTCGCACGATAAGAATGAAGGAAGTGAGATTTTCCTAATAGTTCCATAGCTCTCAAAGATAAGTACAGACGTCTCCGTACCGATCCGCAAGACTCTACTAAACTCGCTTATGACTCGTAGCACCTATGAACCTAGAGCTCTAATACCAACCTGTCACGACCCAATTTCCCCTCCGTTGGGTTTCGTGATGGCACCTAGTCTTAAGGACTAGGTAAGCCTACTAATTTGCGAAAAAATAACAATAAATAATAACATCTAAAATTCATCTGAAATAAATCCTTTATTCAATGAACATCTTCCCAAAACCCGGTGGTACAAGTCATAAGCTCTACAGAGTTTCGCTACCATTTCTAAACACAACCGTATGGAAATAAGTACAGCAGTGAGAATATAAAATAGGAAGGTGACTCCGAAGCCTCCGAACGCAGCAGCAGGGCTACCTTGAGTCTCCTCGGCAAGGATCCACATAGATACTAGCGAACAATACCTGGATCTGTACAAAAAATGTGCAGAAATGTAGTATGAGCACACCACAGCGGTGCCCAGTAAGTATCAAGACTAACCTCGGTGGAGTAGTGACGAGGAACAGTCAAGACACCTACTGTTCAAATGAAATGAACAGGATATGATAATAAAATATCGAGATAAAGATAACGGGGTAATATCAACAGCGGAGAGAAAATCAAATTACAAACAGTAGGAACAATAAAGGGAGAACACGGTTAGTAACGAACGACACCAAGTAAATCAGATAACCAAGTAAATCAACACTGACATAACAGGAACAGAGACAAGTAAGAATGTATCCAAATAACGAAGGCAATGCCAACTCGATCACTCACATCATGCCTAATACACAATCCCGATCATCTCAAATCCTCGGTTTCTCATATCATAAATCTCAACTTACGAATCTTCAACACACATGGCACCTTGTGCTCCCATATTTTTCCATCTCACTCTTAACAAGAGAAATCCACATGCTATACAACACATAATGTCCGTACAAATGCACTCAAGATGTTCAAGAAGTCTCATTTACCTAATATAAGTAAATTACAAATTCTAATCTAATTAGAAAAGCCAGCGAGAAAAGATGAAGTTATTTTTAGAAGTCATTTGAATAAAGAGAGTACCATTTTTAATTAGAATACAACATCGAATGAATTATTACCTTTACCATGGGATTTAATAATTTACATCTTAGTAGAAATTCCTTTTAAGTAGGATATTACCTCAAACGATTTAAGAAAAATTTAGTTGAGAAATTAATTGAGTCAAAAATGTAGAAATTATTGAGGTTGAAGTATTGAAATATATATAAATATATATACGGCGGGGTATTGACAACACTATGGGTTCCACAACAAAGAATCACAGCAGCAAGGGAATCTAACCCGTTAAAACACTTGAATTGACACCAACGATTACACACAGTAAGCAGCAAGTGCACGGCATCACCCTTCGTGCTTTTACACTCACAGAATATCGACAGGGGATCTCCCGGTATTCCGTCCCGTAGTCCCAAACGTAAATACTTGGGGGATCTCTTGGTGTCACGAGGATCTCTTGGTATCCTCAATATATGTGCTGGGGATCTCTTGGTATCCCGAGGATCTGTTGGTATCCTCAATATATGTGCTGGGGATCTCTTGGTATCCCGAGGATCTCTTGGTATCCTCAATATATGTGCTGGAGAACTCTTGGTATCCCGAGCCAACAGATATGAACAATAGCATTCCGGCAAGGGAATAAACAATATGAACAATAACACCCCGGCAAGGGAATCAACAATATAAACAATACATCCCGGCAAGGGAATCAACAATATAAACAATACATTCCGGCAAGGGAATCATCAATATAAACAATAACATCCCGGCATGGGAATCAACAACAATCCAACAATCCAATCACAAGGAAGTTCCACCACCAAGAGTATGATTACATAGCAACAAGAGAATCACGGAGAAACTAAGAAAAATACAATAACCTTAACAAAACAACAACAGAACAGCTAATTCAATTAAGGCAATTAAGGTCAAGTAACAGGTGAGAGTAAGAGGAAGCTAACAACATCGTATAGAGCATATAGAGGTAAATTATGCAATTAGACAACTGAATCATAACAGAATACTTCCCATAGGATGAACATAAGGACCTAAGAACCCTAAAGGCAATTTTCCCACAAATAAGCCCGAGCACACACTCGTCACCTCGCATGCACGGACTACAATTAGCATGGAGACTCAAGTCCTAAGGGGAAGTCCCCCACACAAGGTTAGGCAAGATACTTACCTCAAAGAAGACAAACCAATGCTCAAAAATGCACTTCTCGGGTGAAAAGACCTCCGTACGGCTCAAATCTAACCAAACTAACTTCAAAGCACAAATAAAACACGTAAGAAACTATTCCGGATCATAAAGTTTCAATCTTTAACAAAATCTAAGAATTGGTCCAAAAGTCGACCCCCGTGCCCGCACCTCGGAACCCGACAAATTTTACCAAATTCGAAAACCCATTCTAATATGTGTTCAACCATACAAAATTATCAAATTCCGATACCATTTCGTCCCTCAAATCATGAAATTTCGTTTTGAAAACTTTCTTCAAAAACCAACATTTTCCTTAACTAAAAATACAATTTAAATGATAAAAATAAGGACTAATTCATGTAATATATTTAAGTCACAGTGAAGAACACTTACCCAATCGATTTATGTGAAAACCCCTCAAAGAATCGCTCAAAACCGAGCTCCACAAGTCAAAATGTGATAAAAATGGTGAAACCCTCGATTTGGAAATAATATTCTGTCCGCCCAGATTTTGTGCATCTCGAACGCGGAAGGACAATCGCGTTCGCAAAGAAGAGAAACTGAAGCTGCCAAGAAAAGCCTACGCGAACGCGAGATATGGGATGCGAACGCGTAGAGTAATGAGCAGAGGCTTACGCGAACGCGGAGGCTATGACGCGAACGCGAAGAAGAATTAGCCACCAGCCCCCAAGTTCCTAATTCTGCTATGCGAACGCGAGGGATTGGATGCGAACGCGAAGAAGGAGAAAGGCAAACCTTCGCGAACGCGATAGGTTACCCGCGAACGTGATGAACAATAAATTCCTCCTCCAAGATTACTCTTCGCGAACGCGAAGGAGCATAAGCGAACGAGAAGAAGGAAACCAGCTAACAGATATCAGCAGTTCAAAATAGAAGGAAAAAGACTCGTAGCCCATCCGGAACACACCCGAGGCCCTCGGGACCTCAATCAAACATGCCAACATATCCCATAACATCATTCAAACTTGTTCCAATCTTCGGAACGCTCAAAACAACATCAAAACACCAATTTAACATCGGATTCAAGCCTAAGAACTCCAAAAACTCTCAATTTACGCTTTCGATCAAAAAGTCTATCAAACCTCGTCCGAATGGCCTGAAATTTTGCACACACGTCACATTCAACACTACGGAGCCACTCAAACTTCCGGAATTCCATTCCGACCCTCAGATCAAAATTTCACTATTGAACCGAAAACTTCAAAAATTCAACTTTCGGCATTTCAAGCCTAAATTAGCTACGGACCTCCAAAACACAATCCGAACGCACGCCTAAGTCCAAAATCACCATACGAAGCTGTTGGAATCATCAAAAATTCATTCCGGGGCCGTTTACTAAAAAGTCCAATTCCGGTCAAATTCTCACCGCTTAAACTCCCAAAACTAGATTCCTTCTTTCAATTTTACTCTGAATCATCCGTTAACTGAATTCAATCATGCACGCAAGTTGATACTCGTATTATGAAGTTGTTCCAGACCTTACGCCGCTGAATGGAGCTTAAATTCTCAAAACGACCGGCCGGGTCGTTACACCACCCCCCGAGAATGATTAACCCTGGCACATACATATACGCTCGTCACCTCATATATGTATCACCCCCACATGTAGCAAACAATGAAAAATAGGAGGAAAAATTCCCTCAACAAAGCTAGGCAAAACACTTACCTCGATCCGGCTAACTCAACACTCAACTTAGCCTTTTCCTCTATAAATTCGCCTCCGCTCGACTCAATCTAGCCAATGACGACTTGAATACACCACACAATGCAAGAGAAAATAATTTCAATTAGTAAAGCTATGATTTTTATTAAACTTCTAAAAAGTCAACAAAAGTCAAGCCCCGGGACCGCCCGGTCAAAACCCGGGTCCAAAGGTAGGTCTTGACTACCCATAGCCCCATGAGTCCAAATATGTGTTTTGTTTTCAAATCCGAGTCTTATTCGACTCTCAAATCCCGAATTTTCATTTTTCAAAACTTTGACAAAAACTCCAAATTTTCCATAGTTTTCCAATGAATTTGATGTTAAATATCGTATAAAATCATGAAATATAGTTGTAAATTGATTAAAGATACTTACCCAATGATTTGGTATGAAAATCTCCTCTCAAAATCGCCTCACCTCGAAGCTAGGGTTCAAAAATATGAAAAATAAAGCAAAAACTCGGAATTCTCAACACTTAACAGGTTGGAGATGTCGCATTTGCGATAGGGGGTTCGCAAATGCGAACCCAGTAATTGCGAAAAACACATCGCAATTGCGAACCTGAAGGATGTCTGCTGAGGTCGCATTTGCGACAAAAACTTCGCAAATGCGAAGACCAGCCTTCGCTAATGCGGTTGGTTCATCGCAAATGCGAAAACTGCCCAGTCGCCCAGGCTTCGCAAATGCGAGGTTTCTTCGCAAATGTGATGGCCGCATTTGTTTTCAAAACCTCGCAAATGCGAAGATACCAGAACCAGAAATTAAAAACTATGCAAGAACATTCCGAAACCAGTTCAAAACTCACTCGAGCCCTTGGGGCACTAAACCAAATATGCAAACAAGTATAAAAACACAACATGAACTCGCTCGCACGCTCAAATAATCAAAATAACTTCTAAAACCACGAATCGGACGCCAAAACGCATGAAAATAAAATTAAACTTCAAGAACTTCTAGAATCACAACCGAGTATCCGAACCCTATCAAATCAACTCCGAATGGTGCCATATTTTGCAGACAAGTCACATATGACAAGACAAACCTACTCAAAGCTTCAAATCACGCATGATAACCTCGAAACGATGAATCACACCTCAAGCCAAAATTAATGAACTTTGAAACTTCAACTTTCACAACCGATGCTGAAACCTATCAAATCACCTCCGATCAACCTCAAATTTTACACACGAGTCACATATGACAATACGGACCTATTCTAACTTTAGAAATCGGAATCCGACCCCGATATCAAAAAGTCCACTCCCGGTCAAACTTTCCAAAAATCCAACTTTCGCCAATTCAAGACTAATTCCACTACGGACCTCCAAATTACAATCCGGATGCGCTCCTAAGTCTAAAATCACTCAAAGAAGCTAACGGAACTGGCGAAACTCCATTCCGTGGTCAATTGCCAAAAAGTCAAACTTGATCAACACTTCCAACTTAGAACATAAATCTTAAAGTTCATTCCCCCAAATCGATTCCGGATAACTTGAAAACCAATTCTGACAATTTACGCAAGTCATAATACATCATGCGGAGATACTCGGGCCCTCAAAACACCGAGCAAAGTGCAGATACCCAAAATGACCAGTCGGGTCGTTACAACATCTCTCCTAAGCATACACTTAGATAGTAAGTAAAACCTAATTGTTGACCAAATAATTAAGTAATTATGCACAAAATTAAAGAAATAATCATAAAGCGGTAACTCGTATAGATGGAGAAATATTTGTTGAACTTTAATTTTAATGGTTACCCACAAACCCAGAACAAAAGAATCTAGTAACGCATAGCATTCATCTCAAACCAACATTCAAACTTCATAAACTACAACAATAACAAACTTCAAATTCATAACTAACAAGTATAAAGGAAGAACATTGGAAATTCGTCGCCGATTTCATTAAAATTCGCTCCTCATATGTTCCTTGCCTCCAAAGTAGCGTATTCCCCTCTAAAGATGTAGCATGAGGTTTATATATGGCCTAGAGTGTGTAGGAAGTTTCACTTCCCAACCCCAAATAGGCTGGGAAAACCCACAGTGCACGTCCCTAGATGCGAGGACGAGAAAACATCCCCTTTTTTCAGCTTTTTTGGCGACGGTGATGTCGGCCTATTCTATATCTTTTGACGTTATTCACCTTACTTGTTTTTTATTTTGATGCTAATTCGTGCAACATTTGAGCTTAATTGAGTTTATTTAAGAATACATGGATATGAAGTGGAGAAATATTGCATGAAATGGTACCTAGAAGCTACAAAATAGAGCACAAAAAAAACATTGCAAGGCCATTAAACCTCACAGCTTTAGACAGTACAAGGCCATTAAATCTCACAGCCTTAGACAGTGCAAGGCACTGTATAGCGCGCTAAAGTTGGCGCCGCTGATGGCGCAAGGCATGGTAGTTTTGGCGCCTTGCACTGTTATTTCAGTGCCCCTGATGATGCCCCCGCGCTAACGATGTCTATCCGAGCCACTTATGTTTCCTCCTCAGTTTTGGATGTGTACACTTGAGATCTACCTTATAAATACCTCCTAAAGCGAGTTTTTCGAGGGGTATACATTATTGGAGAGGCAAAAGGCTACTAAACATTTGGAAGCAATGAATCACAAGAGTTATTCTCTCTGTTCTTTTTTAGTCTATAGTTTAATGCTTTTGAATATTATCATGAATGTTTATGAGTAGCTAAAATCTTTCATCTAGGGTTTGATAGAACCTATTGGGGGATAATTTTTCACAGTGTTTTATATAAATTTGCCATTGACTTTTCTATACTTGTTCGACTACGTGATTATTGTTGTTGATTAAAGGTCTCCCAATTGAGTATGCCTATTTAGTGTGGATTGCTTGGAAAAGGATACACATTTAGGTAGTTGTTGAACAACATCACTCTAACGTATGTGAGAAATCAATAGAGAGAGTTTAAAGGTGGGTTTAGGAATAGCGAAACCTTGGTGTGATTTTTGTGAGCAGTGAACTAGTGTCATCTAGCGTGAGGGGCGGACCCACATCTAGCGTGAGGGGCGGACCCACATGGGGTCAAGAGGGTTCATATGAACCCGCTTCGTCGAAAAATAATAATGTATATATAAATATGTTTTTTCTTTCTTCCAAAAATTAATGGTATAAAGATTATATTGAACCTGCTTCAAACAAGTAAAACGCCTAGCCTGTTGGTAAAGACGGTTCAAATTTTTCACATAGTCCTGAGTTTGAAACCGGTTACTAACATTTGCCCTCTATTTTTATTTTAATATACATCTGTTTTCCTATAAAAACGATGCCGTTTATGTTTTTTAAATATCCCCCAATTCCCAAACAAATAGCCCCAATTTCCTAAGTTAAAAAATGATCGGTTCTAAATTTCTAATCCCAAACCTTTCGATGCCTCTCTCTCTCGTTCAATTTCAAAGAGAATTTCTTTCATAGTCATCTCCTCCATTATCCCTTGTCGAGAAGGTCGTCTCTCTTAAAGACAAAAGGATTCATCTTGGTATCTAACTAAATGTCCACGTAATCATAAGCAACAATTCAAGTTTTCCAATTTCCAATACTTATTTCTCTTTTGCATAAAGATTTAATCCCAATAAATTTCCTTCACCTTTATGTGCTTTCTTCTCTTTGTTGTAGTTCAATTTCAAAGAACATTGCTTCATAGTCGTCTCCTCCATTAGCCATAACCCACTGCCGCTTCTCGTTGGGTAGCCGCCTCTCTCGCCGTCAGCCTATCAATTGTCACTATCAGGTTTCTCTTTGATTTTTAATATTTTTTTCTTTCAGTTACAAAGCCTAAGAAGGGCAGGTTTTTCAATTTTCTAAATGTATGTGCTTTCTTATCTTTGTGCTTGTGCATCTTCTATTGGTTTAACTACAACAGTTAGTCAGTGATGTGTCTCTCACTCTATTGGTTAATCTTATGGCTAAATCAATTATAGTCGTAGCCCCAAATAAAGTTATGTATATTTGTTATATGCCGAGAGAAATTGATGCTATGGAATCGAAATAGTTGGTCTTGTATTATTGTTAGTTAAATTTGATGCAATGAAAATTAAAGTAGTATGGAATTATGGATAGTCGAGAGAATTTTGATTCTACGACTGCTGGCTTTCTTATGGACTCTCTCCAACTATCTCGGAAGATCACCTTTAGTTCTTCTCTAAAGGTCATATATTATATACTTAATTCTCTTCTTTTACTACACACTCTCACTAACACATCAATGATCCATTTTCTGATGTTTATTGTAAAGGTAGAGTGGTAAAGTCTTCGTAGCATGGAATTATATGTGGAGATCAGAAGGGGCTGGATTTGCAGAGTTTAATGATCTATTGTTTGCTGTTATTCATGAACGAACGTTTCATTGCAATAGTTCTGTAATCTGATGAGTGGTCTTTACTTGGGTTGTCTTCGCTCACATTAAAAAGTTATAAACCATAAAGTAAGTCAAATCAAAATCTCATAATAGGACTAAAGTTCCAAAATCTTAGCGTATTCTTTTACTTTTAATTCTTATTATCCATGCTAGTTTAAATTTAAGGTTAAACAAATATAAAATATTCTTCTAATTCTAATTTAATTTGGTAATTCAGTTTGTGTTACAATGAAGAGATTTTACCCTCCAGTATTGTCACGCCCCAAACCTGAAGAGGCATGGTCGGCACCCGGTGCCATGCTCGGCCCGAGCGTACCACTCTGCAACTGTGAACTATAAAGGGGTAACCCTCAACATAGGCCGATGAGGCCGTATTCTGAATCGTCTGAAAATAACGCCTCACTCATCTATGGGGTAAATAAATTAAAAAACTAATATATATATATATATATATATATATATATATATATATATATATATATATATATATATATATATATATGCAGGCCGACGAAGCCGCCATGAACATGTACCTAATATACAAAATATACAGGACTCATCTACAAGCCTCTAGATATAACTGAACTGTACCATGGTCGGGACACGGCCTCGACCTACCCATCAAACCTGTATATATAAAATGGACTCCAAGGACTAGACCAACTCCGAGGAAGTGGAACTTACCAACCAAGCTGATGTTTGACTCTGTCTGCTGGGAGGGTCTGTCCAACTATCAATGAGGACCTGCAAGCATGAAATGCAGCGTTCCTAGCAAAAGGGACGTCAGTACGAAATAATGTACCAAGTATGTAAGGCAATGGAATAACTGAAAGCTGAAACTAAACTAATAATATAATAACTAAAAGTAACTAGGAGTCAAAGATAATCTGAAGATATTCTTACCTGCTGATACTGACTCAACTCTCTCAATATAGTAAGTAAAATAGTTGTCCGGGCTTATAAGGCTCGATATGTGTAACTGCTCTGCCGTAGTAGGCTCGTTCATAGGCGTTCGGCCATACTAGGCTCTGTATCTCAGATCGAATAATTCCTTTCATGCATTCTCATCTTTCCTTAAAAGTAAGCAATTACTTCTCATGGTCGTTCTGCCACTTGTTGCATGAATACTTGGCTTATCTTAGTGCCCACACCTATTGTCATTTCGTGCAACTCATATGATCTCGAATATTACTTTTGATTTTACTTCTCGTTCCTTAGTCACGACAGGTGCCACTTTCTTATGGAGTGTATACGATGTTGTAGTGAGACTGTTGTTACAAGACCATTATTTATTTAGGTCACTATGCTTAGTTTGAAGCCTTCTTCCTTATTTCCTCGGCTAGCCTTTCATCGTAGCATTTAGGGAAGACTCTCTGACTCTTGTAAAGCTGTGAGCTTATCCCATCATATACCTGACGGAATTTTTGATGTTCTTACTCACCTATAAATATCCTTAGTTACATAC